GGGCGGCCCGGCGGCTCGACCCGTCGCGGCTGGGCTCGGGAGGGCTCGGCGCGGCGCTTGGCTCGGGGGAGAATCTGGCCGCTACCGCAGGAGAAATTGCAGCCTCTCTGCTGACTTAAAAGAGCCTCGAGTTTCCATTCGCCCTGAGCCCTTCCAAGATGGGCACTTAAGAGCGGTGGGGTTTTGTTTTCTTTTTTTCTAATTGGATGGCGTCTTCTTCTTCTGCCAGCAGAAGGGTTTTTTTAATTGTTGTTGTTTTTTCTTTCATTTGAAAAGAAAACAAAACAACAACAGTCCCCGCTAAAACCAACATCTCTATTTCAGCAGCACCCGAGCAGGCGGGGACGCCTGCCAAGTAAAAGCCTCACAGGCGGAGGTCCGCAAACCTACGGCTGCGTTCGGGGCGGCTCCCCCTGACCCACGGAGGGAAAGGTCCCCCCAGGCCGCTCCCACGTATGGCTCCCAGCGAAAAAAGAGGCAAGCCCACCCGCTCAGACTCTTGACGGGGATCCCGCATGCCGGGGCGCCAGGCTCGGTGTGGGCAGAGCGGGAGAGACCTGTCCCCGGGGTTTCGGTTAAGGCGGTGTGGATGCACACCTGGCCAGGTGCGGGGAGAGGCGGGCGGCCAGGCCCTCCGCGGGGGTCCCGTCCCCCAGCCGGGCAGCCACTCGCCTGAAGCCTAATTCCATTTTAAAGCAGATATCCAGCCTCCCCCCCATACACCCCCACCCCCCATCAGGGAAAGCAACCAACGACAACAACCCGACAAAACATTAACCAGACAAAAAGCCCCAACCCCCGACCCTCTGCAGAGCCACACATTGAATGAATCTGGCTGTAAGGTTTTAATTACAGCGAAGGCTTCGCTACAAATCTGTACAAGAGACAGTGGCTGGTTCCCTCTGGATCTTTCCCCTTCTGACTCCTATTATTTTGACCCACGCTACAACAGAGAGAGCGGCGTGTGTGATCCATCTGCGAGGCTGGGCTGGGGTTTAACCCCCCCCCCCCCCCTCCCTGCCACTTCCTTCACACTCGCGGTATGGAAAGCCATTGACGCCTGCCTGTCTGTTATAATGTTAGTGGGTTGAAATCCAGAGGAGCCTCCGCTCCGCTCTTGCTCTCGCACTGGCAGCGCTCAAATTCCCCAGCCTCTCCTTAAAATAGCTCGCTTCCAGCCTGAGGAGGTGACCTCCTTTTGCGGGAGCCTTTGCTCACCACTCAGCTGCTATTAAGACGATGGCAATATGACATGCTGGCAGAAAGAAAGGAGGCCATGTGTTTTGGGGTAAACAGCCTTGAGAGACCGGGAAAAAAATTGCCATCGGCAGATGCAAGGCGAGATATTTTGTTGTAGCCTCTCTGGGAGCGGGCAGAGC